TCCCTCCCTCCCACACACACCCACGCGCCCCAGCACCCATCCCTTTTCTATTCACCCGCTCACCCTTTTCAACACACCCCAAAGCCACGCCGCAACGCAGCCCTTCCTCTTTTCCGGTAAACTAGTACAGTAGTAGAGCGTGTGTCGCACTCGCGCTAAAAGTCACGTCGCTGGAGTTCTTATTTTTGTCTTCTTCTTCTTCTTTCGTTACGGTTCAACTCGCGACGATTTGGGCCTGCTGACCTAGTCCGCATTTTCTTTAGCGCGTATAACACAACGTTACAACGTAGACGCGTGCGGACGGCGTTTGCGGAAAAATGGGGGAGGAGTCTGGGAGCAGGGGTACGGGGTACTATTTGATCGAGGTATATAAGGAAAACATTTCAGGCGAGAAAATAAAAACGTCCGGGAACAACAGCTGTGACCCATTTTCCTGGCGGGCGCGTGTTGCGCCTGCAGATCCTCACCCCCGATCCGCCACCCCCACCCCAGCACTAGGGGGTGAGTCCACCACGCAACCGCGCCTCTTATCAATGGGTCGCACGCCGGACCGATAAGATAATCTGCAGACACTCTTGCCTCGCCCCCTCCCGCTCTCCGCCCTTATAACCTGTCGCTTTCCCGGGGTACTCTGCGAATTCACTGGCGAAAAGTGAAAAGGGCGTAAGTCCTATGCAAAGGCCGTGGACTTACGGCGCCTCTTTACTTTTCACCAGTGAAATAATCCCTTTTGCTAGTTGCCCTGGTTAAGACTGATTCTAAGGAAATTGAAGGAAAAAAAAGGGCGTTTTGAGTCCTCCTGCACGGTAAAAAGAAAATCTTGGAATTCAAGTAGAATCCTTGAAAACTGACTTGAAATCCAAGTAGATCGCTTGAAATCCAAGATGTCATTTTTACCGTGTGGGTCGTCTTTCAACAACGGCTGTACCTCACGGCCTCGCTGCACTGTGAGTGTGTACCGCACCCCCGTGGTCGCTCCGTGTTAACGCCGAGCTAACGCCGTGCAACACCTTCTCTCGCCGCCACTCCGCTGGTTACGACAATCATAACTTGACTGCCGCCTTATTCACCGCGTGATGAAGGGTGGGAACTATTCACGCGGGCAAGTACCGCGTGCGGGGAAGTGGGGTGGAGAGACTGGGGTGGTTGGTGGGAGGTACAAAGAGTGAGAGAAAGCGCGGTGGGGTGGGGAAAAAACGCCGAAGAAAATCCGACGGCGGTAGCGACGAGATTCTTTTCACTTTTCGACGAAAGGGAGAGAAACTAACAACAACAAAAAAGGGAGACTGCTGCCCCGGCGGTGAGACGCACGCCCCGGTACCTCGCCTCGCGGTTTATTGGGCCCCGGCCGCTGCTTTTTGCTTTCCCGGGCCGAGCCGGGCCCTGCCGGAGCGGCTCAGCGGGAGGCGACCTGAATGACCAATCGCGTATTGTGGGTTGCTTACGCCCGCAGGGGCCCCCGGAAGAAGACGCAAAGAAAATGACAGGGTGTGGTGGGGGGATTCTGAAAGGGGACGTAAAAAAAAGAGAGAGAGAAGGAAAGATGATGACTGAGGCGAGTGTGTGGGAGAGTGTAGGAGGTTGGGGAGACCTGGGGGCCGAGCGAGAAGGGGGAGGAGGAGGGAGCGCCTCCGTGCATGGGCGCCAGGCAGGCCCGGGTTGGGCCCTGCTTTCAAATTGTCCCCCTTTCCATCCAATTAGTGTGAAGCGTCTTAATTGAAATATATGCGCCACTATGCGGTGTGCTGTTTGGCCGAGGGCCTGGGCTGGTCCGGCCCCCACTTGGTCCTCCCCGCGATGGATGGGGGGCGGTAAAAATGAGCTTTTGGTCAGCTCGCGCGGTGGGGCGCGGCGGGGCAGAGGCCAGCTGGACGCTGCGGGGGCGTTTGCTCATGGCACCTCCGGGCCCGAGCCGGGGCCCCGCGCGGCAGCGCAGCACACTCAGGCCAAGGCATGTAATTAGTCTGAGAGCAGGCCACGGCCTGCCTGTTTTCCCGTTGGCCCTATCCCCCTGCTCTCTGTCTCTTTTCTCCCTACCCTCCCTCTTTCCCTCCCTCCCCTCTCTCTCCCTCCCTTTCCCTCCCTTATCCTCCTCCCTCCACGCTTTCCCTCTACTCCCTCCCCCTCCCTCGCTACCCAGTTCCCGCTTTTCGTCAACACTCTACGCATGACACACATGCGACGCACTGACGGCAACTTCTCGTGACAGCGGTAGTAGACGAGAACGAGATGGCAGGGCTCGGGATTCGCTTTGCCGGCACCTCAGCAGCGGAGCGCCTGACGGGTGATCAGGCCTGCCCGCCAGGCGGGCAACAGTTTTAGACTTCGTCATCAACGACCACGTGCTATACTTTTAGGAAGGAAAAATTATACACTGCCACAAATCTATTTCATGTTTTTCTTTCCCTGTTGCAGATGCGTTTTTCGGCCCGATATGCGACTACGTGATCGCGCCCGTGGTGCGCTACTCGTCGGTGTGGAACATTCCCGTGCTGACGGGCGGCGGCCAGGCCGAGAACTTCGCCTTCAAGGAGAACTTCCCCGTCCTTACCAGGATGCAGGGCTCCTTCGGGCTGGTGGGCGAGACCATGAAGGGCATCCTGCACGTGTTCGGCTGGAAGGTCGTCGGGCTGCTCTTCCACAACAATGAGGTGCGCCACCGTGACATCTGTCGACGACAAATGCATCCCAACATCTAAAAAAATTTACAACATATTTTGTATTTACAATCTACAGAATTTGTTGTAAATTTATGACAGCTCATACTTGCTCGTCTATGAATTTTAAATTTACAAATTTAGGTTGTAAATTTACAACACATATCATGAAAGGTTTTCCTGTAACACTTACAAAACCTTACAGTGTAAATTAACGTACGTTGAACACCATTTACAAACAATTACCCTTTTCGTTGTCGCAGGTCGGCAGCTCGCAGGGCAACTCGCCGTGCTACTTCACCGGGGCGGCCGTCTACAAGGCGCTCAACTCGACGCCCGTCCACCATAACTTCAACGAGAACACGGCGAGCGCGGAGGAGCTGCGCGAGCACCTGGTGTACGTCACCAGCAGGGCCAGGAGTGAGTATACATATAACCACCCCACCTGCCCGTCTGCGTCGGGGCCGCGGGCGGCGCGTGGCCAGCGAAGCTGGCGCTGACGCTCCAATAACACGCAAAAGACACTTCCTCCGATATTTCCATCTCGTGTGGAAATCATTGCGCGCGCGCCGCACTCTGCGCCGTCAGCGCCGCCGGCCAGCGATCAGCCGCGTGTATTATCGGTCCTTTCAGCGTCGCTATCGGACTGGAAGAATGTCGGGCCAATCAGGCGCGAAAGGCAGACAGAGCGCGAGGAGAGGCATACCATTTTCTTATTTTTGTCTTTTCTCTCTCGTTCGGTTGCCGCATCGCCCCCCTCCATAACGGCGCTGCCGCTGCCGCCAGGCTCTGCTGGAAGGCCGACACCGTCGCGAGTACAGACAGTAGGGGAGGGAGGCGGAGATCCCACTGCTGTTCCTGCTATACTGCTCTGGGACTGCGAATTGATTCACCTTTTCACAGAAAAGCCGTCGTGCTAGACCGACTGGGGGAAGGACGGGGGGAG